TTGGCTTTAGTGACCATACCCTAAGAGACCATACCCTAATATATTTGTTTAATAAACTAGGCAGAAGATTTTCCCTTGATGATCATCTCCCTTCATACCCATATGAATGCGACCCTTGTTTCTTCCCACAAGACCAGCTATATATCCAGTTCAAAACTCAGTGATAAACACTAACGGCAGTACTTCAAATGCATTTGAAGGATTTAAGGTTGAAAATTTCTCGAATAATGATTTGAGCAAGATGGGCAGTGTGAACAGTTCTCGGCAGCAAGTGGATGGGTTTCAGAGTTATAATGGAGTAATGGAGTTGTCGACGGCCACCGTGACTTCATTGGAAAGTAAAAATTTCTTCAAGGATTAAGACCTCAAGCACCATCTCAAGCGCATCCTTACGATTGTGATTAGGGCAAAGCTTTCGAGAGATTGGGCTACAGAGCCGAAAAGGTGCGAGAGAGGGAAGTGGGACAGGAAGAAGTTAGTACCAACCAGACATTGAATTCGTTTGGCTAGATTATGTATACTAATTGCAGATGGGTTTGATTTGATTGGAGTGAAACAGGGGCTTGAGATTGGGAGTGGATTTTCTGGCAGGGAACATATCGTTCTTTCTATTGATTTCAGGGTCATGGCGAGTTCAGTGATAATTGAGTAACCACCGACGAGAATGGTCGGGGTCCTCGGGGATGAACGAGAAATGCTGAAGCTGGTCCTGGGAGACCTCACGTGGACAATTTTATCGTTTCATGAAAAATTTAATTATAGCTAAGTCTCATCGATCTCACAAGCATTTATGTAATTTGTGGGATTTTAGGATAATTACAATTATTGTAGGGGATTTTGGAGTAATTTTCCCAATTTTTCTAAAAAAAATATACATTCACAAAACATATAAAATAAATAATATAAGAGATTATATAATAAATAAAGTGATGGCTATCAAATACCAACACATCTAAAACAAGATTCAGATAAAGAAAAATTGTAACACTATTCTTTTTTAAAGAAAAACGAGCATGAAATTAAAAGGGATCTCATCATCATCTTATTTTCCCCCTAGCCAAACAAGCGAAACAAGCAGGAACCAATCATAATCCATGTGAACAGATTTTTTTTAAATTATATTGGCTAATATCCTAAAAAACTTGCTAAATATATCATGAATATCTTTAATATATTTATTTAATGTGACTATATATTTTATTATTCAAATTTAAGATTTTATGATAAGTTAGTTTAACTTTCTCAACCAATTGAACCAATCGCCTACTAATTAGTAGATTTTAATAGTATCACTTTATCTTTAAACAATAAAAAAAAATTATAACCAATGCAAATTTAAAGGATTAAATTTTATAAAAATTAAACTTTAAGAACTAAAATAATAATAAGACAAACTTGAAGAATTAAAATTTTTATTATCCATTAATTAAATGTTATTATAAATTAAGTGAGAATTATATTGAAGGACTAAGGTATAAGAATATTTAACCTAAAATGAAAATTATATTTTAGAGCTTGAAATTTGGCCATGCTCAATTGGCTAACTCTGGTAAGCTCAAAAAATTTCAGGATTGGGCTTGATGAGATAATGCATTTTTAACATTTAGGAAAAGGACTAAATAAAAAAGATTTTGCATTTTAAAAACATATAAGGATATTAAATGTTAAATAATTTTTAAGTTTTAGATAATTTCTATTAAGATACCATATATTTCATCACGTTATTATAGAATTTTTGTAAAAAATTAAAAATATATATTGTAATATTTTTATTATTTTCAATCTTCAAAATATCACAAAATAATATTTAAAATATATTTTAATGTTGATTTTTAAATTTTAAGACCCACACATGTTTTTTTTTTAAAAAGTTTAAGTCTTCTACATCATTTAAATATTCTAAAAAATATATTTTATATTTTTATAAAATGAAAATAAGTAATTTTAAAGTACAAAGTAGGTTAAATTAATTTTTAGAACAAGAAATTGATAATTTGAGTATTTAATAAGCTCGATTAAAAAATATTTTTTATTTTTAATAAAATAAAAATTATTCATTTTGAAGTAAAAAGCAAATTAAAATTAATTTTTAAAATGAAAAAATGATAATTCGGTATTCCCGTCTCCGACATTCCTCCAAGTGTGAAGTGTTATATATAAAGAAAACTTTCACGTGATTTGTTTTTTATATGTAAACAGAACAATTTTTCAGAAATATTTATGATTTTTTAAAAAAATTGCCTTTCACAAAATCATAATTTATTTTTTTCAGAAACGAATATTTTAGTTTAAAATTTTTAAAGTCTGACGAGTAAGTGTTAGAATTAATTATTTTTAAATTGTGTAAGATAGTTAAAATCTGTTTTTATATATTCTCTCCGTTAAAAAATGCAAGGTATTTTTAATCTTTTGAAATATAATTATTATCTTTTTTTAAAAGTTTTCTTATTGATAGTGATTTTATGTTTATTGTAAAGCATTTAATAGGGATAAATATGAAAAGATACAGTTAGTTTAAAAATAGATAATCATTCTATTGGAGGTGAAATTCAGTTAAAAATACCTTATCTTTTTAAATAAAGAGAGTGTATATATACATATATATTATAAAACGGAGGAAGCATAATTCAACAAAAATTATTTACAGTAATTATTATTTTTACTTGACCCAAAGAAATAAAGCAATAAATAAGAATTAAGAATATTTTAAAAAATGAATGTAAAGTAAAATGTTGATCTGATAAACAATTGAGTGAGTGATAAAATTAAAATCAGCGAGAACGTCTTTTCAGTGGACCTAATAAACAATTGAGTGAGTGATAAAATTAAAATTAGTCTGCATAATTGTTCGCTTTCTCAGTCATGTAATCGGATTCAGACCAATCTCATATGAGCAGATATTTGATCTCATCCAATGGGGCGACCATTTTCTGATGGGAAGAGCCATTCGATCTTTATGAGTCTCGGTGCATAGATAGAATCATTTCACTGTCTTTTGGCCTTTTATTGCATCGAAAGGGTCCCTGTATTGTCGACGAAGCTGATGATGTGGCCGGAATCATAATATTCGAAAATGACGAGGGATAGTACAAAAATTTAAGAATAGACCTACTAGATCGAACCAATTTGTGTGTGATTAGTTATCAGTGTGATTTGTGTCGTTGTTGAAGTTCCGGTCTCCAGATTGCTTCTGGTAGAGCGATCCTGATGTCGGAGAGTGAACTGAAGCTTCTGGGCAGATGGTCTAGCCCTTTTTCGATGAGGGCGAAAATCGCTCTTAATATCAAATCTCTTGAATACGAGTACTTTGAAGAGCACATGAAACCGAAGAGCGATCTTCTTCTTCAGTCCAACCCGGTCTACGCCCTAATCCCAGTTCTTATCCACCATGGAAACCCCGTCTGCGAATCCCTCATTATTGTCGAATACATCGATGAGACTTGGTCCTCTGGCCCCTCTATCCTCCCCTCCGATGCTTATGATCGTTCAATCGCTCGATTCTGGGCTGCTTACATCGACGACAAGGTATTTCCCTTCCCAATAACAGAGAATGTACTTCCGAGAAAAAAATTTGCCTATTTTCCATCCATTTCTGACTATGTTTTGTGGGTTTCTGAGTTTAATCTCTTCCTTTCTGGGCCATTCCTTCTGAATGAGAGCTGTTTCTCTAATTGTGATAGTGGTTTCCCTCGATGAAAAGCATTCTGACTGTTGAAGATGAGGAGGCAAGAAAGCCATACTATGAGACAATGGATGAAGTGATTAGGAGGATAGAGGATGCGTTTGGGAAAATCAGCAAGGAAAACCCTTTTTTGGTGGAGACCAGATTGGATTCCTGGACATTGCTTTTGGAAGCCACCTAGGCTGGCTCAGTGTTGTCGAAACTTTGTGTGGAAGAAAGTTTCTTGTTGAGGCAAAAGCTCCTTCTCTGGTGGATTGGGCTGAGAAATTTGCTGCTGATCCTGCTGTCAAGGGACTCATACCTGAAACTCATGAACTCATAGAGCTTTCCAAGTCCCTTCAGATCAAATGGAGGGCTGCAATTGCCAAGAAGTAGAATTTGTGGAGACTGTTTGCTTCCTGGTGTAGATAATCTCTCTGTTCTTGTATGGTTCAATAAAATAATGCTCTATTGTTCTGCGTGTTTCTTACAAGTTTGCTTGAATTTCCTTCTCACTTTTGGGCTGTACTGTCCTTTGTAGCTGGAATTTACATTAATAAGTACTGTAAATTTGATTCTAGATGATTTCAAAGTCAAATCACAATGGCTGTCTTACCGTCATTTGAAGAAATAACATGTCTCTGCAATGTACTTTTCAAAACACTTTACTTCCGTTGCTTGAATTTGAAAATTGAGGTGAAACTTGAGCATTTTCTGATATTTTAGACTATGTAGGCTGTAAACAACATTATAGGGAATTGTTAATTATCTTGCCACAATTTTCGCGAGAGCCACTGGATGAATAATATGAATCTTGGAAGGGCTCCTTTCGATAGGAGATACTGCAGATAAGATTAATAGATTATGTAAACTAATTTGAGTTGATCCGTCACTGGCACTGTGCACTTGAAACAGTATGAAGGTATGACATGTCAAATGTGCTTGCTTTTCTTCCCATGCTTTTCATGTTTGACCCCTTTTAATTTCGGTTTTGTATTTTCTTTTTTTTTCATTTTTAAAGTAAAAGACTAAAAGTTCAAAGAAATGACATTAACTCATATCATCGAAATTAAGCACAGAGAATACAGTATATACAATATCTTAAATCTAATCCGGACAAGTGGCACAGACAAATGCGAAGAACCCAAGAAACATTTTTTATTTTCGACACGGTTCTTGATCCTTATCTAGTTGTGTTAGGTGGCTCAGTAATTATAGCCTTAACTATTAAATTTGACTAAGTCACACTTGACGGTTTTTTGTTTTTCCTACATAAACACCCCTTGCCTTGTACTGGCCTCACAATAATTTTTCACATCCTGTGTTTGTCTCCCTTAGTTTGTACTTGTAACTCATGGCAAACACTAACTTGAAGCTCCTGAGTGGCTGGTTCAGCCCATTTGTTTGGAGGGTTAAGATCGCCCTCAACATCAAATCTGTGGAATATGAAAACGTTGAAGAGACCTTGAACCCAAAAAGCCAGCTTCTTCTGCAGTCAAATCCTGTGCACGAGAAAGTCCAAGTCGTCCTTCACGGAGACAAGCCCATCTGCGAATCTAGAATCATTGTTGAATACATAGACGAGGTTTGGAACACTGGTCCCTCCATCTTACCAGCAGATGCCTACGATCGAGCCATGGCTTGTTTCTGGGCTGCCTACATCGATGACAAAGTATTATATTACTTTACTTAATCCCTTTCCTGAGCGGTGTTTGTCTACTGTTATTCCCATTTGGTTGATACTAATGAATTTCACTGGGGATAGTGTTTTTTGGCCATGAGAAAAGCTTTGCTAGAAGAAGATGAAGAAGCGAGGAAGCCATGCTTGGAAGAAGTGGAAGATGTGCTTGTGACAATGGAAGGTGAGTTGCAGAAATATTGCAGAGAAGGAAAGGGGTATTTTGGTGGGGATGAGATTGGATTGGTTGATATTACCTTTGGGAGCTTGATGCGTTGGTTGAGTGCACTAGAGACGATGAGTGGAAGGAAGATGTTGGTTGAAGGGAAGCATCCAGGTTTGGTGAAATGGGCAGAGAGATTCTCATCTGATGCTAACGTGAAGGGGTTGATTCCTGAGACTGAGAAACTCATAGGGTATGTAGAGGCTCTTAAGATGAAGCTGAAGGCTTCTGCCACTGCAAAGTAATGGAACTCGTTTTTATGAACTGCTTCTGGTCCTTCTTTGCGTTAATTTTGTTTTCTTTTAGGCTTATGGGATGTTGTAGTAATAATAATGATGATCATAATACTAAAAAATAAACAGCTCCTTTCTTGGTCATGCTATATGAAGTTAAATCTCAGTAAACATACATTAAATTGGGCTAGTGATTGTTATCAAATTTTATTCCCTCTCCTCCTCTCATTTAGTAAAAATTACACATTAGACTTTTATTTGATGAATATTTATCTAAATTTAATGATGGGGTAAAATTATTTCAACTTTAATTGTTTAAAATTTAAAATAAATTTTTTAAAAATTTAAAATTTAAATTGTCTTTAGATTTATAAATCAAGATTTAAATTATATATTAATCAAAAGAAAACCAACGTACATGGGGCATTGCTAAGGACAATAATATTTAAGGGTATATTTGGCAAGTGGTTGTCCCAAACAAATATTAAATACTTAAAATTCAGAAACTGCTCCTCCCCTGCTGACGCCAAAACTTGATTTTGAGGCAAATAATTGATTATGAGAAAATGGTGTGTTTGGATGTTTTCTAAACTCTGGTTTTGGTCAAATAATTGATTCTAGAAGCAAACCAGGCAGCACAAAGTTTGAGTTGACCCGTCACTGGCACTGTGCTCGTGAAACAGTAAGAGTTTGATATGTCATATGTGCTTGTTTTTCTTCCCATGCTTTTCGAAACCAGATGCTGATCAAGGTGATGTAACTTGAACCATTCAGATTAAAAATGTAGATACTCTAAATTTAAAAAAATAATTTAATATTTTTATTTTATATTTTTAAAAATAAAAATTATAAAAAAGTTTTAATAAATATTTTTGACTAATATTAAAATTTTATATTTTTATATATTAACTATCTAGATGTATTCTGTACAGTTCAGATTTAAAATATTTAACTTGTAATTTTTTAAAAAATATTTTTTTAAAGTTATAATTAAAATATTATATATTTTATTTTTTAATAATATTCATCAAAATAAAAAATAAAAAATTTAAATTTGGACCTTGCAGATAAACATTTGATATCGAATATGGACTGTCCAGAATATATGTAGATAGTCAATTTAAAAAGTTATAATATTAAATTAGATCATTTAAATTAAATCAATACCATTCAGATTAATAATAAATCTATTTATAAAAAATTATAAATTTTTATTTTAATAAATATAAATTTAAATTTAAATTAAAAAAATTTAGGCCATCCAAATTTAATCTGAATTGCCCAAATTTATTTTTATGGCTGAGCACCGGACCTTTCATGCTTTCATGTTTGACTCCTTTAAATTTCAGTTTTGTATTTCTATTTTTTTTTCATTTTTAAAGTGAAAGACTAAAAGTTCAAAGAATTGACTTTAACTCATATCATCAAAATTAAACACGGGGAATACAGCCGTTACAATATCTTAAATCTAATCCGGACAGGGCGCCGAGACAAATGCAAAGTGCCCAAGAAACATTTATTATTTTCAACTCGATTCTTGATGGGAGGATAATCTCTCCATTTTTTCTCTTCCTTTTCTTCCACTTTTTTTATCTCAACCATTCATATTATTTTATTAAATAATTTTTTAAAATTATAGAATTAATAAATAATTGAGTGGTTCTATAATTCTTAAAAAAATTATTTAATAAAATAATATGGGTGATTGAGATGGAGGAAGCAGAGGAAAATGGAGAGAATCTTCTTCGCTCTTGATCCTTATATATCTGGTCCTCTTAGGTGGCTCAGTGGATTATAGGTTTACCTACTAAATTTGATTTGACTAGTCACACTTGATCGTTCTTCCTACATAAACACCTCATTCTTCCTTAGCTTGTATTGGCCTTCACAATAACATTTTTCACATCCTGTGTTTTTCACTAGTTACTCATGGCAAACGCTGAGCTGAAGCTCCTGGGTAGCTGGTTTAGTCCATTTGTCTGGAGGGTTAAGATCGCCCTCAACATCAAATCTGTGGAATATGAAAACGTTGAAGAGACCTTGAACCCAAAAAGCCAGCTTCTTCTGCAGTCAAATCCTGTGCACAAGAAAGTTCCAGTCCTCCTTCACGGAGACAAGCCCATCTGTGAATCTAGAATCATTGTCGAATACATAGACGAGGTTTGGAACATTGGTCCCTCCATCTTACCAGCAGATGCTTACGATCGAGCCATGGCTCGTTTCTGGGCTGCCTACGTCGATGACAAGGTGTTATTTTACTTAAATTAATCCCTCTCCCCAGCGGTGTTTGTCTTACCGTTATTCCCTTTGGTTGATGCTAATGAATTTCATTGTGGATAGTGTGTTGAGGCCATGAGAAAAGCTTTGCTCGAAGAAGATGAAGAAGCGAGGAAGCCATACTTGGAGCAAGTGGAAGATGTGCTTGTGACAATGGAAGGTGAGCTGCAGAAATATTGCAAAGAAGGAAAGGGATATTTTGGCGGGGATGAGATCATTGGATTGGTTGATATTACTTTTGGGAGCTTGATGCGTTGGTTGAGTGCAATAGAGACGATGAGCGGAAGGAAGATGTTGGTTGAAGAGAAGCATCCAGGTTTGGTGAAATGGGCAGAGAGACTCTCATCTGATGCTCACGTGAAGGGGTTGATTCCTGAGACTGAGAAACTCGTAGGGTATGCAGAGGCTCTTAAGATTAGACTGAAGGCTTCTGCCACCGCAAAGTAATGCAACTCGTTATTGTGAACAGCCTCTGGTCTTTCTTTACGTTAATTTTGTTTTCTTTTAGGCTTCTGGAATGTAATAATAATAATAAATAATAATAAGCAGCCCCGTCCTTGGTTAATGCTATATGAAGTTATGAATGCTCTTGTGAAATAGTCAAGGCCGCCCCGCTTGACTTTTTGTTGGGTGTTGTGACTTATTTTATATTAAATTATTAACGGTGATAATGGACTAATTAATAGTAGTAACAAAAAATGTATAATAATAATACTCCCTCCAATCCTTCCTTTTTAAATTATAAAATATTTTTAAAAGAGTTTTTCATCATAAAATATAAAATAATTTAGGTAAATTAAAATTTCATTAAATACATTAATTTTAATATTATCTTTTCTTTATATAAATTAATTTTCATCCCTTCTCTCTTCAATATATTAAATGATAGTATTTTTAAAAATTTATATTTTTAGTTTTTAAAAATAAAATTGTTAAGTGTATTTAATAAAATTTATTAATATGTGAGATGTTATCTAAAAATATTTTATAATTTAGGATGTAGGGGCATAATTTTTGTTGGGTAATGAATAAAGTGAAAGCTACCAACATATTTAAAACAACATTAAGTGAAGAAAGATAAATTGCAACATTATTCTTGTTGGCCCAAAAAAATTGTAACCTATTCGTTTTTTAAAAAAGCATAAATGTAAAAAGGATTTAATAATCACTTTATTATTATAGGAAAACTGGCATTAAAGTACAGTCCGAGCATATTATTAAAACTAGAGGTTTAAATGAAATTAGGTTTGTTTGTGAATGCACCTGACCAGTCTTGAATTTAAAAATAAAAAATAAAAACAAAAATACCTTCCACTATGGTCGCCCGTGCCTGACCACCATTAACGGTTATATAACAAGTTGACTGCATATATGAATTTTTGCAAATTAAGCTCTTAACAATTACTAAATAATTTGAAAAATGAAAAATTAACTTGACAACAAATATTAAATTTTATCTCAAGTGGTTGATGTTGAATACATAATGTCAAAATTTAATATATGTAAAAGTTAATAAATGTAATTGATATATTAAATTTTACATTATATAATGAAGGGGAAATTAATATTTTGGTTATTCAATAATTTGTTTAAAAATCAGTTTCTCAAATGTGACGTGGTTCGACTCAATAACTGAATCATTTAAAACTTAGTCAATAATCTTTTCACATATATTTTTGTCCTAATCCTCCATAACTCAGCTTAATCAGCATTCTACATGACAAATAAGTTATATATGAATCAGCAAGTGAGAAAATAAAGCAATTTAGATAGGCTTCTTTTGTACAGCAAATAAGTTAGGGCTTGAAGGGGCAGCAGAAGAGAAGGAAGAAGAAGCATATGGAGAATTGCTAACGTCCATTTTCTCTACATATTGTCTTCTCATGAATTATTGTTGCTATTAAGACAAAAAAGAATTCTGGAACTTGAATGAGAAGAGTCTCTCTCTCTAATCTTAATCTCTCCCCTTCGCCTCTGAACTCTACTTCCCAAAACAGAGAAGACGTGAGTGGAGAAGATGCAAGTGAGAGAAAAAGAAGCGATCCACGAATGGAGAAGATGCAATGCCACGAATTTGGATTTACTTCCTTGGCCAAGAAGATTGAACCCTCTTCTTGATTTTCTTATCTCTTCCTCCTCTTCTCTCGTATTCGTTCAAAAACAAGCATTACCTGATCAAAAGCTCGACATGAATTATTCAGTGTTTTTTTTTTTGGAAAATATAATTCTCACTTCCTATAATTTTATTCACAGGCGAACGCCTACATGGTTGAAGCTAAGTGCTCCCATAACTTGGAAAAATTTATAAATAGGTGTGAGTTTTAAAAAATTTGTCCACATTAATCTAATAATTTTGAACCTACTAAATCCAAATTAAAATGTATTTAAATTCAAAAATATTAGGATCTTTTACATTTCACTCAAGCTCAATAAATTTTAATTTTAAATTTATTATATTTAAATTTAGATTGCTTTTATAAAAATGACATTTTAATGTTTGTTTTTAATATTTTACAAAACTAAAGTTAAATTAGACAATAAATATCTCTAAAAAATTAAAATTTTAAATTTTAAAGCATACAGATAATACCGAACGACAAAAAGATGAAAAGAATCTTTGCTGAAAAAACAAAGATTGGTTTGAAACAAGAGACAAATTGAATGGGGGGAGACGGAGCATGAGAATCAGCTTGAAAACATAGGTTAGAGCAGAGGGAGAAATTTATTTTTTATTTTTTATTTTGCTATTGTTCAAAGT